ATGGGGGCTGCGGGTGCTGGATCTGGGGGTCTGTGGGAACCTTGGGGGGCTGGAGGGCCTGGGGACATTCTGTAGGGCCCGGGGGGATGGATCTCAGGATCTGTGGGCCCAGAATGGGGTCTGTGCATGGGGGGACTCTGGGCCCAGCACGGGGTCTGTGCATGGGGGGTCTGTGGGGCCCGGGGGTGCAAGTTCATCCCCCCAGAGGGGAAGGGCCAGGGGCTCCTGCTCCCCTCCCCACTGCCCTGTCCTGACCGTGTCTCTGCAGGGCCCAGCATGGTGCAGATTGTCATCTCCAGGTGAGCCCCAAGGGTCCCCATGTCCCCTGGTCCCTGTGCCCGCTGGTGCCCGGGTGACCCTCCCCATGTCTCCCCAGCGGTGGCACCGGGGCCCTGGCACAGTGGGTGCTGCTGGAGCTGCAGGGCGAGGTGGAGCCCCGGCAGAGCGGGGACCTGGCCGGGAGCCTGCTGGGAGACCTGCACTACACCTGTGAGGTGAGGCTGGACACCGCTGGGACCTGCCGGGGACAGCCCAGCCCAGCCTCACCCTCCGCTCTCCCCAGGGTGTCCCTGTGCTCATCGTGGGGCACCACATCCTCTACGGGAAGGTGGTGCAGCTGGAGAAGCCGTTTGCTGTGCTGGTGAAGCAGGGAGGAGCCTCCCAGCCCAGCCCCGGGGAGCCCCAGGGCCACTACACCGTTACTGCCCTCATCAAAACCAAGCTGCTCTTCAAAACCCGCCCCAAGCCCATCATCACCCACGTGCCCAAGAAGGTCTGAGGGGAAGGATGTGGGCTATGAACTCTGATGTGCTGCTGGAAAAAGCAGCAGGCACTTGGGGAGATCCAGGATGTCATCCCTGTCCTGCACAGGGGACACTGGCACTGCTGGGTCCTGTGTCTGGGTCACTTGTCCCCCCCAAAATGACTCTTTTCAGAGAGCAACCAAGCTCTTGGCCACAGACCCCGTGGATCACCCCGGGGCCATGGCTCCTGGTAGGTTGGGACTTTCTGTGAGCGGGGCAGGGCTGTCCCACCCTGGAGGTGCCCACAGTCTCCAGCAGGTCCCAGGGATCCATGGAGGTGCCAGAGTGGAGATGTCTCCTTCCACCCCCTCCCTGCAGCTGTGGGGACACCAGTGCCACACAGGGACTCAGCACCAACCTGCCTCAAGTCGGGCAGGGGGCTCAGGGACCCTCCCCAAAACACACCATGCGTCCTCACTTCAAGTCTTTATTTCCACAACTCCGTCAGGATATAAAAACCAGCCTTTTCCACCCGAAATATGGAAAAAAATTCCCCTGGCAGGTTCAAAAATAAATAGATTTACAAACCATCTGCGACAATACCAAAGAGCTACAAAAGTCTTCTAAAAAACCTCGTATTAAATTAAACAAAAAACAGCTAAAAGCTCCGTCGTAGAAAGGGGTTTTTACCCAAGTCCTGAAAAAAGGACCCAAAGGTGAATTCCCTGGGGAGGGGAAAGTTGGGAAGCACCTTGCCTAAATCCCCATCTCCCCACTGCTGGGAAGGTTTTGGGGTGGGAGTGACAGGGCCGTGGGGTGGCCAGAGCGTGACACGGCCCCAAGGGGTCTCCAGCAACGCCCCGGCCGGCACACAGCCCCCCAGATTTCCCAGTCTCTCCATG